TTGCCTCTACACTCCCCAGTGATGATCGGCGAGGTTCCCTGCCACCATAAACAACACAGTGATGAACATCTTCATATATGACCCCTTAAGGATGTGTTGAGAATTTTTTGGACACAGACCCAGGAGCAGAATTTCTGTATCACGTGGTATGTGTGTATTTAATACGACTAAGTAGTGCCAGGTCGCTCAGCTTAGTGGCTGCCCCAGCTACACCCCCACCAGCAGAGGTCCTGTATTCCTACGTCTGCACCAACACCTGACAGTGTATTCAGCTTCCTACTGTTCGCCAATCTCACAGGTACAAAGTGATAGCTCATGGTGGTTTCAATGTACATTTCTTGGATTACTAATGAGTTTGAGCATCTCTTCATATGCTTCTTAACCCTTTGAGTTTCCTCTATCATAAACTGCCTGCCTATATCCATTGCCCATTATTACATCGGGGGTTCTCTTTTGTTCTTGATTATTTGCAACAGGTCCTTGTATCTTTTAGAGAGATATGTTTCTTAAACAGCACATGCTTCTTTGCTGCAGTAGTTACCCATCTGTGGCAAAGGAGCTAGTCTGGCTACTGATTCTTCGTACTCTCATCCTGGGAGGGTCAGGGCTTGATTATGACCGTAAGTACATCAATCAGAGAAAGAGGAACCCCTTCCTCCGCTCCCCTCTGTCAACTTGCCTAAGGATTGCAGTCTGGGAAGACAGGTAACAGGGAAAAAAGCTGTTCCTCTCTTCCGGTGCTGTTAACCTGCTGTGTCAATTTCATGAGTTAATAAATGATTGGAGAAGGCTTAATTGCATTGGAAAAAAATTGAGATCAGCCGGTGCTTAGGCCCCACTCAATTAACTTGTGCTCCTAAGGGGACTGAGCAGGGAGCAGGGGCCGCCGGTTTGCTAATTACTTGTGCTGCTGCCAGCTGCAGCTGGCATTTCCTACCAGTGTTCGCCAGGCAGTGAGGGGAGGTGACCCTGCTTCAGCGAGCTGAAGTCACTGGGGGGCGGGGGCCCTTCAGAGAGACCAGAGACCCGTGGCCTTGTGAGGAGTGGGAGACTCATTTCCCAGCCCATCCTCTCAGGGTGGCTCCCATCCCACCCAGCCTGACACCGTGTGCTTTTGGTTCTCCTGGAGCTCCCCCTCTCCTCCTGCCTTCTGTCCCCCTTGCCCCAAGGACACAGAACCCAGAGCCAGTCTTGTCATGGGAGGCAGATGATGCCAGAGGCTCTACAAGGTCACCCCTCCCCTGCTACCTCCAGCCTGAAATCCTGCCAAAGACCTTCATTCCTGCATCATTTCCCAAAAGGACCAGATGGTAAGAATCACACCTGTTAAAAACACAGATTCCTGGGCCCTCCACTGGAGATGTTGCTTCAGTAGGTGTGAGGCATTCCCTGCAGTCTGGTTTTTTGTTTTTTTTGTTTTTTTTTTTTTGGTAAAGTACACACAGCCGAAGATACACCATTTCAACAATTTCTACATGTACAGTTCAGTGACATTGGTTACATTCTCCAAGTTGTGCTACCATTCTCGCTGTTCTTTTCCACACTATTCCACTGCCATTATCTTAAACTCGCTGCCCTCTAAGCTTCCCACCCAAATTGCTGCTGTCAGTTTGATCTCACATATGGCTCAGGTGATTGTCCTGCTTCAGGGGACACCTTAGTTCCTGGTGAAATAAGTACAGTGCTTCTGGAAGAAGAAACAGTATCTTAATGGCAGGGCCCTGACTGCACTGCCAGCACCCCTCCAGCTCTACCTGTTTTGCTGTGTGTGGTTATGCAAAGTACTTGTCCTCTCTGAGCTTAGTTTCTTCATCTAGAAAATAAAGATATTGGGTCAGATCTTTTAGAGTCCTTCCATTCCCGTGGATCATTTTTCTGTAAGTAACTGAAATGTTAAATAAGCACATTGCAGGGCTTGTGATCAAAAAGCAACTTGAATTTTTTTTTTTTTTTCTCCTAGCATCCCTTCACTTTAAAATGTGTTAGGTGGGAGAAACCTTCCCCTGACCCTAGATAAAAACTCAGGCTGAATGCATTGCTTTTTCATCTTCTCTTAGGTGCTGGTTAGTCTAATAGTCACTTTAAGTTATTAATGCAGCCCCAATTTAGAAATTAGAATGCCAGCCTTGAGTATTAATCAAAACACACCCAATCTGACAGTGTTACTCTCCTTTCCTCAAGCTTGGATGTGCTTCAGGCTGGAAGCTACTGGGAGGCAGCCTGTGTCCCCCTGCTGTCTACACTCCCTGCTCTCAACCTCAGTGCCACCACTACCTGTTGTTTCACTACCTGACTAGATTAAAACTGCAGGTTCATAATGGCTCGATGGTTTCAGCTTTCTGGGCCTGGAAGGAGGTTAAAACTGGCTCTTGCTTTACTGAATTTTTTTTTTTTTTTTTTTGCAGGGGGTGCTCTTCAGAGATTCTCTGCTGGGCCCCTCTTTTATGCAGTTTCCCTAATCCAGGCCAGCACACCATCTCTATTCCAGGGATCCCTTGCAACTCCTTGCTCAGCCCCTGAGCATCTGGAGGCCACCTCCATCCTCTTCTGCTGGGATCTTCTCACCCCTTCAGGTGACGTTGTTGAACAGGACTCAAGACAACAAGCCCCCTGCCAGCTCTCCACAGCCCACAGCGGGTCCCCTGGAAACACCCCTGTAGCCATTCCCGGCAGATTCAGGGAGTTCAAGCCAACCATACACAGGAGTGCTCTCTAGCTCTGCCACCAAGGCCGTTTGCACTTCTCTCGATGAAGCCAACCCGAGTCCATAGTCCACTCCAGCTTCTCAGGCATGAGTCCAGGGCCATCCTTTCAGTCTTCCAGCTGCTGTGAGCACATTTCCAAACTCCTGGAGTGGTTCCCCAGAGGTTGCCCTCCTTAGGCTTGGGGTTAGAAAGTAGCATCCGACCACTGCTCCCTTGGGGCTTGGAGGTGGGGATTCAGAGCTCAGCAACCACTCTCACCAAAGAAATCTTCTTCGCCAAAGCCTCACCAAATTACTGACCCATCTATATTTCACAAAGTGTGTGAAAGGGTTTCTGGAATCCTGAAACAGGTTTTCTTACATTCTCATTGTATGGTCTGTACATGCCAGGGTGGGGAGAAGATACCTGTCTCAAACTCACTTTGTATTCCTATTTCTACCTATTGGCATCTCAATCAACACTTAGATAGGCTTGAGCATTGCGCTCTTGTGAAGAATTATCTATGTGAGATCAAATGACAACAGCACCTTGAAAGGATAGACGAGGAGTTTAGGGGACAGTGAGTCTAAGTCAATGGTGGCAGAAAAATTCAGATGGTGAGAATGTACAACTTGAAGAATATAATCAGTGTCAGTGAGTTGTACATGTAGAGATTATTGAAATGGCGTATGACTGTGTACAGATTCACATAAATAAATAAAACTTAGATAGGAAGAGTCTGCTCTAACATCCAGTTACATATGATTTATGTTTTAATGGGAGTGAGGAAATCATCAAGCCCAAGTGCCCAGATATCCACAGTAGAAGTTGAGAGGCCTAGCTACAGGAGGGAGGTGAAGGTGGGGCAGAGCCACTTTGTAGAAGAACCTCTGCCTACTTCTCAATTTCCCCTAGAGCTCTGCTCCTAAGACCTGCTGAACTCAGAGGAGGATCAGTCCTTGAGGCATGCAAATGTCTGCCCTTTGCCCTCCGCCTTCTGGTCTAAGCAGAGCCACTAGGGTTGGTCAGCCCTGTCTCCCTGGAAGGTGGCTCTATGGATCTGATGAATGGTTGGGCTCCCTCAGACTATAAGCATGCAACTCAATGAGGCCTCCCCTCCTCAGGACAACTGAGCAGAGGCCGAGGGTCACCACCAGAGGGTGTCTTTCACCCCCCTCTCCCTCCACTGCCCCCTCCGGTTCCCAGTGTAAGGCCCATCCTCTCCTCTAAATAATGTTGAAGGGATATTTAAAGAATTCAAGTTTGAAGGGAGCTCAATAACTGGCCTACATTGGATTCCTAAATGTCTCGGTGAGGTCCTGCCTCCCCACTTCCATCAGCATATCAGCCTGAATTTGTTTGTCAGACTGTCCAGTTGGCATATTTCCCCCGACGGAAGTCAGGATATTGGAATGAGGGAAATGATTTGCAGCTCTGGGCATTGGAAAGAATGGACGGGCCCAGAGCAGAGTGGAGAAGGGTCTGGAAAAGAGGTATGTGGGGCCACAGAGAGAGGGGCCAGTTATGCAGGCAACAAGGACACTTCTGCTGGGGGGGGGATGTGATCTGAATTCCCAGGGCAGTGTGAAGGAGGCAGCTGGACTCACTGCCCACACTGATCCTTACTTCCCAGGACAGGACAGGCAGAGTTTCAGGACAGCAGCACTGAGGGAGGGAAACAAGGACGGGATAGGTGTGACCTTAGAGGTCTGTCCTCAGGTTCTTAGGTTGAAGACCTCGGAGACTGAGGCAGTCATGGAGGTTGTCTTAGTTTCCTAGTGTTGCAGTAACACAAATACCACGAGTGGGTTACTTTAAAGAACTGGAGTTTGTTTTCCCACAGTTCAGAGGCCAGAAGTGCCAATTCAGGACACTGGCTAGAAGGGAAGGCTCTTTCTGTTGACCCTGGGGGAAGAGCCTTGTCTCAGCTTCTATAGCCCTGGCATTCCTCGGTTCCTTGGCAATCTTCACATGGCATCTGTCTTCCCCAGTATGTGCTTGCTTCTGTGTCTAATCTGGTCTTTTTATAATTCAGAACTGATTAGATTTAGGGCACACCCAACACTGATACCGTCTCATTAATGTAACAAAGAAAACCCTATTCCCAACCAAGATTCTATCCACAAATATGGGGGTTAGGGTTCCAATACATATTTTAAGGGACACAATTCAATCTGTAACAGAGGTCAAGAAGCATCTGCCTCTGAGGACCTCCACTCCAGAGTCATCGAGTCAGAATCAGGTGCCAGTGTGAGCCTGCTGTCCTCTCAGCTTCCCCTGTCCAGCTCTCACTGATCTTCCCCTCTTCTCTGGCAGGAACTGATGCTCTTGGCCATGACGCTCCCCCAACTGCTGTCTGCTCGGGCCCAGCCTGTGTGACTGTACCATCACTGCTCCAGCTGTTTCGTGTAAGTATAAGGCACAGGTCACCCTCCTCCCCACAGGAGGCGTCTGGTACCTGGGTAAGGAAGGGAGTTCTAGAAAATCATGGTCAGAGAGCAGGCCCCCAGGAGTCTTTAGCTGGCAACAGGTTTGGTCTCTTTGGCTGTCCCCAGTGGCAGAGTTGGCCACCACTGAATCATTCTGTCTCAGATCTGCTAGGCCTTAGGAAGGGTCATAAGGACCTCTTTCTCCTGTCCTGGGGAAGCTAACTGAGAGGCAGCGGGTATGATGAAACGTCCACAGCACTGGCCCTTGACTCCTGACTCAGACACTTACTATTGTGTGACTTTAGGCAAATCACTTAATGAGTCTGGCTTCCCCTTCTTCCTGGTAGAGTTTTGAAAGGCTCAGGGGAAGAGTATTATCTTTTGGGGAATAACAAATTACCACAAATTTAGCAGCTTAAAACAACACTCATTGATTATCTCACAGTTCCTGTGGGTCAGGGATCCAGACATGGCTTAGCTGGGTCTGTTGCTTCAGGGTCTGTCATGAGGCTATGATCAAGGTATTGGCTGGCACTGTGATTTCATCTGAAAGTTCAGCTGGGGAAGGATTTGCTTCCACTCTTGCTTACGTGATTGTTGACAGGATTCAGTTTCTTTTGTGTTGTTGGACTGACGTCCTCAGCTCCAGCTGGCTGTTAGCTGGAAGCCACCCTCAGTCTCTTGCCATGTGGACTTCCGCAATATGGCAACTCACTTCATCAAAGTCAGCAAGGGAAGTCAGAATCTTAGGTTATCTATTCACAGCAGTGACATTCCATCATCTTTGCTCTATTCTATTGGTTAATTAGAAGCAAGTCACAGGTCCCACCCCCATTTAAGGGGAGGGGATTATACAAGGGCATGAATACCAGGAGGTGGGGCTCATTTGGGGTCATCTTAGAGTCTGCCAACCACAGGAGATAATACAAGAGGAAGCACTTTGTAAACTGGAGAGTGTTGTTTAGGTTTCCAGGAGTTATTGTCATCGTTTATATCTAGTTGCAAAGAGAAAATGGGCTCACCTGAAATAATAGAGAGCCACTGGATGTGTCACATTGTACCATGAATACTGGATCTTCAGGGAAACTAGCTGGAACCTGGCTAGTTCATTTCACACCCTTTACATGTGCTTTCCTAGCTTATGACTTTAAGATTAGACTTAAGTAACCATGACTTGTCCATTTTTCCCATGAATAACCATATTTGTAGGGCCTTTTACAGTTTACAAAGGGCCTTCACACACATGAATCTCATGTTTTCTTCACAATCATCCCTGTGAGCTGAGTTTTTTTGTTAATCTCTGTTCTATAAGTGAGGAAACAGAGAAAGAGGTCAGTTACCGAGATGGGGTGGCTGCTAAATGGCACAGTTGGGCCTCGAACCTGGGCCTCAGACCCCTGCTCTGCCTGCACTGCAATGCTACCCAGCTGCTGGCCGCTACTGCTATACAGCCTCGATGGTACTGAAAGAGGGGAGGCCAGGCCTGTATAGGGGGCAGGGAGGAGGGAGGACACTGTTTTCATCCGGCTTCTCCATAATTCTTGTCTCCTAAAACAGGCTGGGCACGTCCCAGGGGACTAGGCCAAGACCTTCAGTAGCATGGGTCACTGCTCTCTGCCCAGCTTCAGGTCATTCCTTAGGCCTTTCTGTCCCTTAAGCAGCCTTCAGTGTTGAGCATGCAGGGAAATGGGGATTGTAGTGAAACTAATTTCTGGCAGTGGCTCTCAGCTCTGCCTCCAGACTGAGGTTCATCTCCCCATCCCCCTCCCCCACCCCGCCACAAAATAGTTCAGTGAGTCCCTGAAGAATGGACCACCGTGCATCTGGGCAAAGTCAGATTGGTCTAAAACAGTGGTGCCCAAGTCTACAGATGAGATGTGAGCTGAGAGATACAACGTGCTGCCCCCTGGTGGTAGATTATATTCATAACTACCATGCCTGTGAAAGAAAAGCTATACAGTGAAAGGATTGCCAAATTTTTATTAAGAACCTACTGTATGCCAGGCAGAGCCCTGGTGGCGTAGTGGTTAAAAGCTTAGCTGATGACCAAAGGTTGGCAGTTCAGATCCACTAGCCGCCCTTTGGAAACCTTGTGGGGCAGTTCTGATTTGTCCTGTAGGGTCTCCGTAAGTTGGAATTGACTCGACGGCAGTGAGCTTTTTTGTGGGTATGCCAGGCACTGTGCATAATGCTCAGGGTTGAGAGGAGTAGGAAGCAGTATAATACATAACCCCTGATCCCAAAAGACTTGTAATTTAGTTGAGGAGTGAAGATATTTCCACAAGAAAAGCTGACTTGGATCCCAGGACAGGATTTGAAACATGGAAAGGCATTGCAGTAGGGGTCCAGAGATGAGAGACAGCACCGGGGGACGGGGCAGTCAGGGAGGGCTTCTCAAAGGAAGGTTGGGGGAAGCCAAAGAATAATTTGAGGAATTTAAAGTCCAGTCAACTAGGGCAATAATGATGAAACCCAAGACAACCCAATGCCCTATACAACAGTGCTTCTCAAGCTCAAATGTGCAAATTAATCTTAAATCCGCTGAAATACAGATTCTGATTTAGTGGGTCTGGGTAGGGCCTGAGATTCTGTATTTTAATAAGCTCCCAGGTGAGGCCCAAGCTGCTGGTCCACAGACAGCTCTGTGAGTAGCCCAAGTACCGCACCTTCGAATGGATTAGAGAAGTGCCGCTGGGTAGGCACAGCCCTCTGTGCAGTCGGTGAGCAGATGGTAACTCTGGGTGAAGGAGTGCGGGTGGAGTTCCAGCCCCTATTGCCCTTTGGATAACGAACTACCTGCAAAGCCCTACATAGCAGTTCTGGTGGAACCGCTAGCAGAGGCAGGGGGCCCATTTGGAGAACAGGGCTATGACTTTAGCCTGTCCTAGTTAAGTGGAGATGACAGTGTGACATACAAGTGAGATGTCTATCTGCTAGCAGTTGGAGACATAGCTGAAGTCCCAGATTTGGGATTCATAGGCTCTTTGAGGATATACCACAATGTGAGGAGAGCAAGATGAGGGTAGTGTTGAGCTTAGGGAATAATCTAACCCTTGGGTCTTTTTCAGGGTAACATTATTCTTACAACATCTCTGTCACTTTTGTTGTCTTGCAGGTCACCCGTTCCCTTTACTGAACGTAAGTGCTCATGGTCACTTCTCAGGACTCCAAGACTCTTCCTCACCCTCCTGTTCCCTCAGCACAGACAGCCTTAGTCCTGGGAGGCTCCAAAATAACCATTCACTAACCTGATAGGAGAGTCTGCCCAAGACCAGAACAGCCTCACACCCAGAGCCTGCTTCTGTCCCATTATTTCAGCCCCGTCAGTCAAGACAGGTCTCCCCAGCCTCCCTGCAGGAGATAGCCTGGCAGGAACCAGACACTGCCCACCAGCGTCCTCCAGACTTGCCTTGCTACGACAGTTTGAAGGACAGGAGAGACACTCCCAAAAGGAGCATGCATTGGGCCAGGGCAGAACCAGGTAGAAATTTCAATATTTTGGCCTTGTCTCCAGCCAGTTCCAAGGACTCAGGGACCATTGGTGTTTGTGCTCAGAAGGGCAGTGATTAAGAGCATGGCCTTTGGGATGAAACAGCTGAGTGGAATCCTAGCCAATCAATCTAAGCCTCAGTTTCCTCATGTGTAAAATAAGGATAATTAATATCTATCCCTAAAGGTTGTGGAAACCCTGGTGGCGTAGTGGTTAAGAGCTATGGCTGCTGACCAAAAAGTTGGCAGTTCAGATCCACCAGGCACTCCTTGGAAACTCGATGGGGCAGTTCTACTCTGTCCTATAGGGTCACTATGAGTCG